GAAAGGAAAAGAGAATGATAGAGCATCAGTAATATTGCATACCATAAGTTGTGAAGTTACAAGGATGTGTATTTGAAAGCTGTTGAAAACGGGGTAGGAGGTAAAGGGGTAAGAGAGAGTATTCAAAGGGATTGAACGGACAAAAGTAAAGCACACCCACAAAGGGCACACATTGAGACACCCCTTTGAATGTCAATCAAATATTAGTAATGAAAAAACAGGACTATAAAATAAGCACAGTGTATGTGTTGGGGGGATACTAGTGGGAGGGAGGAGGGTGAAGGAAGGAGAGTCAGGTGATGGTATATGGTTGATGGACTTCACATACCTATATGAAACAGAACCAATTGCTTTAAGTGAGGTGGGGAGGGCTTAATGGGGAGAGATGATGGGGTAATTTAAATAATGTGCAATATAAGTCTAATCAGAATTGTTACTGTAAATCCTCTCCCCCCACACACAATGAATATATCCTAATAAAAAATTTATAATAAAAAAATCAGGAAAATGAAAAGTTAAGCCCATAAGGAGATGGCCCAATATCATGACCATAATGGCAATAAGTTTTTGTGGTGGTATGGGGTTTTGAAATAAGAGCTTCATGCTTTAGTTATACCTCCATCCCTTTTTGCTCTGGCTATTTTGGAGCAAGGGTCTCTCTTTTTGCCCAGGCTTGCCTGGGCCAAGATCCTCCTGCTTTATGCTTCCCACAATGACTGGTATGACAGATGTGTGCCACCACACCTATCTTTTTCTGTTGAGATAGAGTATCACAAACATTTTCCTGGGCTGTCCTAGATCCACAATTCTCCCAATGTCAGCCTATTGCTTAACTTGGGATGGCAGGCACACAGCACTGTGCCAAGCTACTGGTTGAGATGGGGTCTCATGGACTTTTTACCCTGGCTGGCCTGAAGCACAGTTCTCCCATTCTCAGCCTCCCAAGTAGCTAGGATTATATGTGTGAGCCACCAGAGCCCAGTTATGTGTAAAACTTTTAAAAAGTATAAGTATTAGCTCTTTGTAAGAATGTAAATTAATTTGACATAGCATATACTGATGAACAGAAAATAATTTTGAATGACTCATTATAAATGATCTATCATTATCTTCAAAGTTGAGATATACCATGTGATTCAACATACTCACTTATATATTACATTGTCATTTTTAACAAACTATTGCTCATTTTACATTTTCCTTTTAGGGCAATTTTCATGCACTCTGGAGGTGCATGTTTCCACTGGGAAAGGATGCTTGTTCATAAGTTTTCCCAATGTAAGTACTAAATTTGAAATCAGTTCTTCTTTCTTTGTATTAATACTCAAAACTTGCCACTTCCCCCTTGGTATACAAGGGGAAAATAGCTGAGTGTACAGCTATTTTATGAACTCAGGACCTTGTGCTTGCTAGGCACTCTGTCACTTGAGCTATACTGCCAACCCCTTTTTTGGTTTAGTTATTTTTCAGATAGGCTCTCCTAATTTTGCCCATGCTGGCCTCAGATGGCAGTCCTTCTATCTACAGCTTCCCAAGTAGCTAGTACCTCAGGCATGAGCCACAATACCCAGCTAACTGACTGAGAGGAGGATCTCACTAACTTCTTTCCCTAGGCTGACCTTGAACCATATCCTCCAGATTTCTGCCTCTTAAGTATCTAGGATTACAAGTATAAGCCACTGTGCTCAAGCTAGGTATTCAGCTATTGTATCTTGGGGCATTAATGCTATCATATCACTGTTTTCTGACTCACATCACATATTGCCTTTGAGAACTCAGCTATCAGTGTAAGTTTTACTTCAAAAGTAAACTTATTTATCTTCATTTATGCTTTCTAACTTTACCTTTGGTATAATACATTTACATTAAGTTATGGTATATATGTGTATACCCTATTTGGATGTTTGAATTTGGGATAATTTCATCAACCTACCCTTTCTTCAATTCTGTCATTTCACTTGGACATTCACACTGGCATTATGTCTGATTTTGATCTCATGTCATCTATCTCTTCCTCTCCTTTTTCTGGGTTTCTGCAAATATCCTAATTCTTTCTTTAGTTATGTCTCATCTGTATTTAATTTTTCAACTTTAAATTAAACTTTTAGTTCTAATGTTGCATCCAACTGAAGGATGGCACCAGTCAGAAAAGAAAAATCCATTTTGTTCTCTCTGACTCTATTTTTGCTTCTTCATTTGTTTCCCCTTGAGTCCCTCTTCTGTAGCCACTCTGGAATCCAGAAAGAACAGGAATAATAGATAGGATCTTGTTAAAAGAGTCAAACCTGGGCTGGCAGAGTGGCTGAAGCAATAAGAGCACCTGAGCTCAAATCCCAGTAACACCAAAAAAAAAAAGAAAAGGAAGTTAAAACGTCAAAACTACCCATAAGGAACGGCAGAGCTTCAAAGAACAGACTACCTCTTAAATAAGGGAAATTAACTATAATGATGAGTCTGTATGCCAGAGTAAGAGTAATCATCTCATGGGAACCAGATTCCTCCCTTCAAGTGATGTTAGTGATAACAACTTCTCCAGAATCCCTGCAGAGCCAGAACAGAGTTAATGATCTATCAGATCACTGACCTGACAAGATTACCATTCATTTCCAGTAATTCAAACCTTTCCTTTGAATCCATTTTCTATAAAACATCCAGGTTCCTATAAACCCTGTGAAGATGATCTTTTGGTTACAGAATCCCTTTTTCTGCCTTCCTGGTGTGGCTGTGTTTGGTTAAATCTCTTTCTTCTGAAGTTCACTATTGCTCACTTGCTGGATTGGCATATTGGGATGGGTGATCAAACCTAGTGTATTTGGAACTCCTGGAGCCAGAACTTTTCACCCAAAAAGTCCGGTTACATAACTTTATAAATCCTTTTAATTTCTAAAAATTCTATTTATTTTCTATCACATCATATTTTATAGTCTGTTTTTGAACTTAATATTTTTAAAGGACAGAAAAAAATTTTAAATGAGTCTAAAACATCTATAAGCATTAAGACTCAGTGCAGAATAAGACAACAAGTTTTTTTGTAATGATTCAGAAGAGGGGAGTTTAAAGCTTCCCAACACAAAGAAATGGCAAATGTTTAAAAAGAAAAATCTAATTGCCCTGATTTGACAATTACACATTACTAAAATGTATCAAATTGTCACACTATACTCAATAACTAGTACAATGATTATGTGTCAGTTTGTAAACACTAAAAATAAAATTAAAAATGCATATTATACTCTACTCCATAAATATATATAATATATCCATTAAGTTCACAAACAAATCAAAAGAGCAGAACTAGATCTAATATGTAGGATCTAGTATGTATGAAAATGTAATACACGATCACAACAATAAAGTTTATAAACCTACAATGATAATTATTATGCATTAAATATTTATATTGTAACTTGGACATTGATTGATATTTACTGTGAAGACCAGTGATTTCTTCATCCTGCTTCTGCGTGGATGTCTATGAATTATCTGTGAGACTTATTTGCCTAAAGTTACAATAAAAACTGAAAGCATGGCAGAACTTAATTTTCATTATCTGCAATCAAGTGTCAATTCAAACTAGTGCATTTAGTAAAGTTATGAAGTCTGTGGAGTCCAGTATATCCTCTTCTGTCTAAATTCAGTCATTAATACTGGATAAGAAAATAATTAAAAACCCTGTGAGACTGAGATTGTTTGCAGTCCACATTTACAAGAAGAGAAATGAAAGCTCTCTCTTTTCTGGTCCGACACCGGTGTGTCATAAGAGTGGCATAGACCCTGAGAAAAATTTTAAAGCAAGTGACCCACTCTCAGAAATACATCTGACCACTTTATCTTCCTTGATTCCTGTTTCGTGCTTGTCTCTAAAGAAGCAAAATAAGTGTTAAGAAAGTAGGACAAAAACTCTCACCTCTTCCCTGTATTTTAGAAAAATCAGCAAATGATGGAAAAGAAATTGAGTCAGAGTCTCAATCTAGACTAGGTAGGAAAAATAAACATATAAAAGTAAATTTAAATAAATATATATAACTGGTAACATAATTATCTTATTTTGAGAAAATATATGTAATAATTTTTGAAAATCAAAAAATTTACATATGTAAGTATTATACTGATTTATACAGAAGTTAATTAAAATGTTAAAAGAAAATAGAGATTATACCAGTAATAACAGAAGAGTCAAATTTGTTATGTTCCAGAACTTATGCCATGCCTACAACTCTATTCAAGAATGATTGCTTCTAGGCTGTGTAATTACATTTTTATTCTGATCTATATGCATTAGAATCCTTTTAGAAGAATTTGGATAATTAAAATTTTGTAGCTATATATGCATTTGGCTTTACAAAGTTGCCTCAGCTGCTGGTTCTTCAATTTCTTCATTTAAAAATTGTGATAAAAGCTATCTATGTATATATTATGTGATCCTTATATATCAATTTTTATTTTATAATTGAATACTTTATATTCAGAGGAGAATGAGGAAATAAAACAGCAGAATGTTACAATCACAATTTTTATGTGAAGAATTGCTTCTTGACTGATATACCATGGGTTCCTTTTTACAAATAGGGAAATTTAGAGTTTGACGGTCCAAGTTGCAAGAATGTAAACCTAGATCCCTGGGAAACAGTAAGCCTTTGAGTCAAAAGCATTCTATATAATCATCACCACTCCATTGTGCCACCAAGGCAATTTGTCTCACTTTGTAAATACACACAGATATGATATTATTTTAATGATCATATAGGAATAACAAATATTTACTTCTTAAAGCAAAATGAAAGTGATAATGTAATTAATTTAATATTAAATGAAAACAAACATATATATACTCTAGGCAAATAAAATAATAATGCATGTATATATATTATTAGAAACATTATTTTTAAAGCTTAGACAATGGTCTGTTGCCACATATAAAATAATCTTTCACATCCAATAATTTTATAGCAAGGTCCCTTAGAAATCAAACTGGCCAGTACATAATAGTTTCATAAACATCACCGAAAGGATGACTTCTCAGATAATAATCTTTTCACAGCATCTTTCACATCTCTGTTTCTCAGACTGTATATTAGAGGGTTCAGCATTGGTATTATAAGAGTGTAGAACACAGCTATGATCTTGCTTTGCTCTGGTGCAGACATGGCCCCAGGCTGGGCATACATGAAGAACACAGTTCCATAGAATAAACTCACAGCTGCTATATGGGAGCCACAGGTGGAGAAAGTCTTTCTCCTGCCATGGGTGGAGGGAATCTTTAGAACAGTAGAGAGGATATACCCATAAGAAACCAGAATGACAGTGGAGGTAGTAATAATGATGAGAGCAGAGAGAATAAACAGCACAATCTCATTGACAAACGTGTCAGTACAGGAGATCTTGTTCAAGGCTGAGACATCACAGAAAAAGTGGTCCAGTCTGTTTTCTCCACAGAAACGCAAATTGAGAGTAAAACCTGTATGTACTACAGAATTAATGCATCCACAGATATAGGACCCAGCTACCAACTGAACACAGACTTTGTGTGACAGCTGCACAGGGTAAAGGAGAGGGGAGCAAATGGCTGAGAACCGATCAAATGTCATCACAGAGAGAAGGAAGGCTTCAACAGTAACACACAAGGCAAAGAAGAAAAATTGGACCAAACAGTCATTGTATAAAATTTTCTTTTCAGTGCTCAAGAAATTAGCTAACATTTTTGGAGCAATGACTGTGGAATAGCAGAGATCTAAATAGGACAAGTTTCTAAGGAAGAAATACATAGGTGTTTGCAGTCTGGAGTCCATCTTAGTGACAGTTATCATGCTGATGTTCCCCACTACAATGACTATGTAGATGATCAAGAACATTAAGAACAAGAGGATCTGTAGCTTTGGAGAGGTTCTAAACCCCAGCAGAATGAAATCGGTCACCTCTGAGGAATTCCTATTCAGCTCTCTCCTCATAACTGATGTATAGGTAGACCTGGAGGGACAATAAAATTGAAAGAAATGAGTCATCAGAATACTTGTTTATGATGAAACACCTGACAAATCAGCATAGAAGAAAATTTATTATATCTATAATAAATCATTTACATTGACCCAATAAGACACTAGTAAGCATACTGTATGTGTTACTATATTTAAAATTTCTCCTAGTGATAAATTCAATCTGATTGCTAAGCCTTTTCAGTGATATTCACCTGCAAGGAATACAGAGTGTCTAAGTGTGCTTTTGGGAAATAGAGATTCCAGCAAAATGTCTGGAGTCAGGAGAATTTTTATTTAATTTTACCATCAGTTGAGTGCTATTTAAAGTTTCCTTCCTAAGTGGAATATATTTTACAAAGACATTATAACATACCCCAGATCATATAATGTATGAAGGTATAGTATATTTTAGAATTGTACAATGAAAATAGAGTTCAAATGGGTCTCATTTAATTTCTAATCATTACTTAGTTTTCATTTACTATAGAAAAATAACATATAGCATTATGTCTTATTTCTTGAGAAGGAAGCCTTAAAATAACATATAGCATTATGTGTGTCTTTCTACATGAGAAGAAAGCTTTCATGTAAGGAAGTCCTTCCTTCCTTGCTTTCTTCCTTCCTCTCTTCCTTCATTCTTTCCTTCTTCCTTCTTTCCTTTCTTCCTCCTTTGACTCTTTCTTGAGTATAGAAATGTTTGTGGAGATTTCTAAGATCTTAGGCAAAGATGTTGTTTTTTTCTTAGAAAGAAATCTAATTATAAATGCAAAGACACATGCATATGGAAGATTGAAGACACACAGTACAATTTAAAGATCACTGTAAATGAAAATGAGAGGGAGCAATATTTACACAACCTTCAACTTCTTTATTTAGACTTACCCTATTGTGACTATGAAATATTCTAAAATAAAACACAGGGGAGAAATTTTTATTCTAATTTTATGATTTAGGAAACCAAGACAATAAAACAGATCTAACTGACTTACTTAGAGTAATGAGATCAAGCAACATACTAGCTAACTATACAACTATATATCATAAAATGGAAAAGAAAATATAAACAATAAATTCAATTATTTATACTCTACTGAAATGTTTTAACTATAAAAGTATATAAATTTACAACATTTATACAAATAGTATTATAGTAAATTCATGAAATTATAAACAAATAATTATAAAATGTGTTATGTTCATTGTCATTGCTATGGTTTCTCTCTCTCTCTCTCGGTCTCTCTCTCTCTCTCTGTCTCTTTCTCTCTGTCATGGTACTAGGTTTTTGAACTTAGGGTCTTGTTCTACCACATAAGTCAAACACCCAGGCCTTTTTACTTTAGTTATTTTTATGTAAGGACTTGCTTTTTGCTGGAGGTAACCTCAGTCTGTAATATTCTTACATATGCTTCCACATAGCTTACAGGAATTACAGGTGCATGCCACCACATAAAGCTTACTGATTGAGATGGGATCTTACAAAATATTTTCCAAGGCTGTCTTGGAACTGTGATCCTCCTGATCTCTGCCTCCTGAGAAGCTGGGATTATAGGCATAAACCACTGTGCCCAGCCCCTTTACACTTCTTTCTTTTAGATAGCTTTTGTTACATTTCTTACCTTTGATTCAATATTTCTGTTGTTAATTTAAAATATGAATTCACATCGTAGTTAATGGTCCCTGCCAGAAGTTACTTTTACTATCTTTCTGCCTTCTAATAGTAGCCAGTCAATATTTCTGTCAACATTTTTTGCCACAGAGTTGACTAGTGCAAGAAAAGAGAGAGAATGATAAATATGAGTTATTCTCAAGAACAATTATTTTTCACCCTAGTAAGCACCATACCATACATGAATTCAATTATATTCACGAAGAGTCAAAATATGAAAAGAAACAAACCTTTGTTTATTGGGAAGTTTTTCCACAACAGATTGCATTACCTCCCTTCCAGATGTGACTCAAATTTGCTAACATGACCAAATACCAGCAGAATTATAGCTCATCTGTTAATATTGTTGCTGTACTTTGGTTTCCCTTAGTATTTCATTGATTCAACTAACAAACAGACCTGGGATGAATCCTGAGAGAAATTCTCTCATGGGGAGAAAAACGAAAATGGTGGGCATGCTCTCTACAAGATAAGGTTGTCACTGAGGATTAAAAGTTTCTCTCATCAATAAGATACTTTGTGTCATAATGCAAAAAAGAAAACTAAATAGAGAAATTGTTGACTGGTAAATGTGTAAGCTCTTTGGAAAGTTAAAAAAGTTCTCTAGAGTATTAGAGAGTTAATGTTCTTTATAGGACAAACCAATAAACAGACACTGTTGAATGATTAGTATCTGAACCTTTTATATTCATGATTTACACAGAGCAATATTAAGCAATTTCATTTGGATAATTTATACTCTTCAATTTTACTTATTTTTACCTCTACTGTAAATGTACTACACTGATATTAATCAGAGGAAAATGTATACAGAGAATAAGCAATATTCAATGGAAACACTGGAGTAAAATAAGGTGGATATTGATGTATCAAAGAGAATAGCAAGACTGGACAATCATCTTTGAAATTAAGTATGGGAAGAAGTAGTGTTAAGTTTCGAGACATCTGGGAGTTTCTGGAAACACAGAGCCAGAGGGCAGGAAGTTCTGAATAAATAAATAAAACAAAAAATTCATGAGTATGATTGAGCATCGGATACTTTCAGATATAGTAAATTTACTCATTCACATGTTAAAACAATGCTATGTGAAATTTCTTATTTCCTATGACAAGTTATTTAAAAATGTCTGTTGCAGGACAAAACAATAAATAACAAGTAGCTCACAAGTATACTATACTATCTAAAACTTCTATATCTGCCATGTATAAGTTAAAGTGAAAAGTCATGCTTTTGTCTCAATTTAAAAACTTTCTATATAATATATCTATCCAAAATGTAGACATATTTTAGAATTCTGTTTTAATAAATACATTAATTTTTGATAAATCAGTTTGTGTCACTTTAAATGTTCACTTAGGGATAAATGTAGACACTTAAGTTTTTACAGACTATCTGATTTAGTAATGCATTTTCACTTAATTATAGAAACATTGCAACCTTGTAGGTGCTTTGACCACATTCCTTTTTGTTCAGTCTTCCCCTAACATGTTAGAAGTGGTTCCATTGTCATCTGCCCTTACATTTCTGAGAATTCCACAGTTATTTGATTTGTGTTAACTAACGCATATTTTGACATTTTTCTCTATTTTCCTTCAAGACTTTTCTTTTTTCTTCATTAATTAATCTATCATGGGTGTGATCATGAGACATCCCATCATTTCCATTGTATTTAAGTTAAACACTTAAGTGGAGTCAATTAGTATACTTCCTGATACAATATGCCACTAGTAAAAATGATGTGACAGCATAAAAATAATATAAATTCCAAACTTTACACTATTTCAAGACATTTTTGTCCAACATTTAGACCCTAATATTATCATGTTAAAATTCTGGATATATGCACTGAAAGAAATAATTTAAATCATAAAAATGTATTTTGTATTTAACCACAAATTAAAAGTCTTCAATTCCCTTCATCCATTTTGTATAGAGTAAAGCAGCTTCATGTGATATAAGTTCTCATTATTCTGAGGAAATTCTTTAATGTTTCATAGTCTATTGTAATGGTGACAGACACATACTGAAAAGACAAAATAAAGCTGTTTCCCTTATGTAGAAGACTTAAAACTATAATGAAGAGATACATTTCAACCTTATAAAGATCACCTAAGAAAACCAACCACAAGGGGGGAAAATTTAATTTTGCTCACTGTTTCAGAGGTTTTGGTCCATGGTTGCTTGACTTCTCTGCTTCTGGGCCTGTAGGGAAGGAGAGTATCATGGTGGAGAGCTTGTGATGGAGCAGAGATGCTCACCTCATGGCAGCCAGGAAGCAAAAAGACAGAAAGGGACTGGAAACAACACATGTCTTTCTGGGGCATACCCCCAGTAACCTGCTTCTTCAATTATGTCCCACTTCCCAATAATGCCATAATATTCCCAGTCCTTCAAGAATTTCAATCATGATCTGATTGGATCCACTAATTGTAGGCAGTCTTTAGAAATATGAGCCTATTTGATGACAATGTGTATCCAAACCATAATATCTCAAAAAAAGGTCTAACAAGTATGGTATCTTTTAATTAATCAAATACTAGTGGAAATGAAATATTCATACTGAGGCAATAAAATCAATGGTGTTAACCCAAGAAAATCAATATACATTTGAAAATAGCCTATTTTTCTAAGCTTAAAGTTTTATTCTAACTTCCAATTTTTAATTATAATTTCCAATTAATAAGCCCTGTGTTTTCTCTATTTTCAAAGATTGCTGCAGTAATAATAAAAATTAAATAGATCAAAGTAGAACAAGGTAAAATTCAAAAGTATTTGCTACTGTCCTGTAATGAGTCAAACACAGACTTGGTTATTATAGTACAATGACAATCATTATCATTGAAGGATTGTCCTTAATATACCTATTTTATTAGGTATATAGGTAAAATATATAGTGTGTTATTTTAAATAGAGATAATTTCACTATAATTGTAGTAGAAATTCAGACTGTAGCTAGAATGATACATAAAGAAATGCTTTCTTGATAAAATCCCTGCAAAAGTATGATTTAAAGTCAAAACCAAAGAACTTCTTTCAGTGCTTGATAAACATACAACCTCAGAGCCCAATAGATAACTAATCCAAATTCATGTTTGGAAACATATGCAAATTGTTTTATGTGCAATATTTAATTAATCTATAAATTTATATTTCTACTCTTAAAATATTAATGCTATTAGAATTTAAGCCAAGAGGTTAAGGCTTAATTCGCCTTGTGCCTCTCATCAGGTTCTTTCCATGAGTTACAGAGGAACAAGCAATCACTCAGAAATGACTGGTTTCATTCTTGTAGGCTTCAAAGGGTGC